AAGTATTCTGGAGATAAGTGATTTCAGAGTTGATCTGGCAACACCAGCATATCACAGTTAGAAACTCTGATTCTTCTTATTCTTGGACTCTTCAGCCACAAAATGTTGCATCTCCAAATAGACTCTCCCCATCAGCATTGCAAGGAAGAAAGAGGGACCGAAGCATGGGGTTCAGTTCAGTTCAGTAGTAGCTCAGTCGTGTCCGACTCTTTGCGACCCCATGGACTGCAGCACGCCAGGCTTCCCATCACCATCACCAACTCCCGGAGTTTACTCAAACTCATGTCCNAGCCTTGATGTACTCCTTTTCCTATTTGGAACCAGTCTGTTGTTCCATGCCCAGTTCTAACTGTTGCTTCCTGATCTGCCTACAGATTTCTCAAGAGGTAGGTAAGGTGGTCTGCTTTTCCCATCTCTTTCAGAATTTTCTGAACTGAACTGATTGGCATTGCAAGCAAGAAAGAGGGACCAAAGCACAGGGTGGGTTTCCTTTATTAGGGCACCCACCCATCATCCTTCCCTGTATACTCATTGGTTAGGTTTGGGTCCAATGAGCACCTCCAGCCGCAGGGAGGGCTGGGAGAGTGAGTGTCTGGCATAAAGGGTCTGAAGAGCAATGATTGGCTTACACTGTGGGCTTCATCCCCTGGGGCTGGGCATGTTGCTGCCCAAAACTAAATCAGGATTCTGCTAGCAAGGAGGATGGGGCAATAGCCCCCAAGATTCAGATTCCCAGGTAAGAGTCAATGGGTCTAGTCTGGGTCATCCTGCTTGAGTCAGGAAACATGATTGAAAGGTAAGCTTTTGAAAGGGAAGCAGGAAGAAGAAGCAGGAAGCTGAGTAGAGAAGACACACAGCTCTACCTTCCTCTTCACTGGTCTTTTCAGATAGCAGGACAGCCTACATAATTTGGGGAGCCCAGTACAAATAAAAATGTGAGCCCGCTTGTTTACAAACTATTAAGGATTTAAATATGGTGACAAGCACAGGTCCACGTGTGACTGCATGGGTCAGGTACCCATGAGGCCTGCCCTGGTGCAGCCCAGAAAGAGTGACCATCCAAAGAGAATCGGCCTTGGTTGGGCCTGTTTTCGTAAGAGATTGGGTTAAGGATATTCAGGGATGGTGGGGGAAGCTGTGGTTGGTATTGTTATAATTCACATATATCCAGGCTGTTGTACAAACTATTATTTAAAGAGCAAAGAAAGAGGTGATCACGCCCCTTCTGCATGTGTAATAATCACAGGCAGTGGCAGAATTCAGAGAATACAGAGTTCTGAGTGGGCTTCTAATCTATTCCAACTGTGGCTGGGCAAGGGGGGGTGGCACTTCGGCTTTATTTCTTGTGCCCATGCAGACTTGACCATGCTAGTTTATTATTTGATCGTCTCAGTGGCCCTGTGCGGTGCAATGTATTATCTCCATGAGGTTACCGGGGCTACACGGTCAAGCTGGGATTGGAAGCTAGGCAGTGTAAATCCAGAATTCATGCGTGTCAGCTCTCTGAAGTGTCAGCATTAGAACACATCTAATGAGGCTGGGGAAATTGTAAGGAGTAGGCTGTGTAAGACTGGATATAAAAGGGCTGTTTTTGAGGGACTCTAACTCCTGGGGCGGTTTCATAAGGGATATCAGTGCAGCAACAGAAATACAGGATGGATTATAGCCCCAAGGATGGCCAGAGGAGATCAACTAGGGAGACTGAGCTGGAAAATAAACTTCATTTTTCTCATAAAAGTGTCTGTCATACTTGGTCAGTTTCTGAAATGAATCCACAAGCCAGGAACATTTGTCTAAATACTTTTAATTAAAATGCATTATAATAGGATAAAAGCCAGAATGCAAACACAGTATTCATGTTTACTAAGAAAATGAATGAAAATATTCCAGGGAGCCGAATACATTTGGATAATGAAACTGCAAACAGCTTCTTGGTTTTCATTTTATTTAAAATGTTTACGTGGTTAAAAAAAATAACTTGATGTTCATTTTCTACCAAAATGCAGGAAATGTTGAAACATTTTAAATTAGTAGAGACAACACATATAAGTAAAAGTCCTGTTTCAGCTGCAGAATAATAGTATTCCTGATCTGTATCATCTATATCTTGGCAATCAGCCCATCTCATTCTATTTGGAGAATAAGGTCAGCCTCAAACTCAATTTATCTAATATCCAAAGTTTGTGAAAGTATCAAGTTTTATGAGATTTCTCAGTGAAATTAAGACACTGCTGATCTCATTTCAAAATCAATTTTCTTTCCAGGACAATTCTTGGAAACCTCAAAAATCTCTCGCTTTATATAATAAGCAGTATACACTCAAGGGATGATATCTAAAAGAATAAGTACATTTATATAACAAAGATTCCTTAGTAAGTAGAAGATCACAGTGAAGGCGTCTTGGAAACTTTTTGCCATCTACTGAAAGGCAATAAGCTGATTGATATATCTGAAATACGTGCTAAGATGGATGCATTCTCTATGCTTTGGTCATAGAATATATAGTCCAAATATGATAAAGAGGAATGGGGATGGTAAAGAAAAATTTAGCCCAAGCCTCCAGAATTCTTCAATTTAAAAAGTATTTGCCAGTGAAATGATATCTGTACAGTATTTTTAACTGCAGCATTATTTTTAATAGCATATGACTGGAAACAATGCAAACGGCCATTAATGGGAGAGAGGTTAAGTGTTACAGTGTGTGTACCTCTTCAGTCATGTCCAACTCTTTGCACGCCAGGCTCTTCAGTCCATGGAATTCTCCAGGCAAGAATACTGGAGTGGGTTGCCATGCCCTCCTCCAGGGGCATTTCCCAATGCAGGGATCAAACCTGTGTCTCCTTCTCACCTGCATTTCAGGCGGATTCTTGACTGCTGAGTCACAGAGGAAGCCCCTAAGTGTTACGGTACATCCATACAATGGGCTAGATTGCAGTCCAGAAAAAATAAGCAACCCCTTTATGTTCTGATAGGAAACGATCTCCAAAATAAATCAAGTGAAAAATTACAGCAGATTAGTCTGTTACCCTTTGGAAGGGGGTAGGGTGGGAAGGAAGGAAATCAGAGTGAATTTACAAATTTCCTTGTGCAAGCTTAAAAATATCTCTGAAAGAATAAACAAGAAACTGATAATCATGGTTGCTTCCAGGAAGGGGACCAAGGCCATTGGGAATCTAGGGTAGGAGGGAGAATTTTTAATAACTGTCCTTGGTACACATGTAAATATGTTATTGGCTTTCCAGGTAGCTCTAGTGGTAAAGAACCTGCCTGCCAATGCAGGAAACATAATGAGACATGGGTTCGATCCCTGGGTTGGGAAAATCCCCTGGAGGAAGGCATGGCAATCCACTCCAGTATTCTTGCCTGGGAAATCCCATGGACAGAGGAGCCTGGTGGGCTACAGTCCACGGGGTCACAGGGAGTTGGACACAACTGAAGTGACTTAGCAAATAGGTTATTACCTTTAAAAATAAAAGTTTTTTGAAAGGTCAGTTAATAACACTGCTCATCACTATATTCAACAGAATGATTACTAAGATCACATGATACAACAGGGACTAGGTGAATCTGTTTGTTACCCTGGGATTTAGCAATACTTAGGCCAGTCTGGGAATTCCCATATTGTTTACTCTTCACAGGGGAAATGAATGCTCTGCTTTCATTTGAATAGATGAAGAACACAACTTTGCCAGCCTTCAAAGGCCCCTTTGAAGGGGCCTACCAGGTTTCTGTAATTTTATATGAAATGGGCAGGACCTATTGGAATGCCAGGTCTTCTGTATTCATTGTTGCTGATGGGAACAAATGGCCCGATACTAGTTTTGTTTTTAATCACCCACACCCCCCAAAGAGCCATGTAGTATGCAAATATAATCCTCTCAATAAATATTCATTTGACTGAATGACTCTTTTTCTTTTTTTAATTATAAAAGCAACATGACTTGTTCTGGAGAAAGCTCAGAAATTTCAGAGGTGTTAGTCACGAGACCCTACCTTCTAGGCTTAGTGGAAATTGCTACCATTATCTCCGAGGGGTTCCCAGGTGGCGCTAGTGGTAAAGAACCTATGTGCCAATGCAGGAGACATAAGCGACTTGGGTTTGATCCCTGGGTCGGAAAGATGATCCCTGGGAGGATGGTATGGTAACCCACTCCAGTATTCTTGCCTGGAGAATCCCACAGAGAAACCTGGCAGGCTGTGGTCCATGGGGTCGCAAAGAGTCAGACACAACTGAAGTGACTTAGCACACATCATCATCTCTACAGCAAGGGTGTCAAAAACAAGTAACGGATTAATCCCTGATGAAGAGGATTAGCTAACTGGCCGAGTGGATGCTCAGAAACACTCAGAGCTTCTTGCCAGTAAACCATTTCCACTATATCTATTCTAAGAAAACAGCATCACTGGGCACAGTGGGATATAGTCTGCGGAGGATAAGTACTAAGTGTCCTAAGGAGCACGGTGTTCCTAATGTGACTGCCCAGCCGAGAGACAGCACCAGACCACGGTCAGATGCGCGTGCAATCTCCATTCGTCAAAGGAACAGCATAGCTGTCTCCCACTTCTGCCAGAAATGTTTTCTGTTCTTGAAATGAGGGGGAAGACAAATTCCTAAGAGGAAAATCCAAACATTCAACAACACTTTTTTCTCCAACAAGGCTTCCCATGTACTGAAGCCCTACAGAAAAGTATTTTGTTCTTAAATATAATTACAGGTGCAGAGGAGGCAGGGTTCCCTAGTGACGGTGGGAACTCACCCGGCACAGACACTATGAAGTTTGTTAATTTCAAGACCAGCGGGAGGTGCAGAAACTGATGTCAGATCAGGACCACCGGCCGAGCGCTTGAGGCCACTACCACGGAGCAGCGTCTTGGCCTTTGGGAGCGGAGGGTGCGGGGTGCAGGGGGGACGAGGGGGGTGGGGTTGCGAGGTGGGGTGCCGGGTGGTGGGAAGCGCGCACCTGCGGGGGCTGGGGCGTGGGTAGCGCACTAACTGCCGCTCACTCCTCCTTCTTCTCCTTCCTCGCCTCCTGCCCGTCTTCCTTTTCTTCTGTCTCCTCCTCCTTTTGCTCCTTCTCCTCCTGCTCCTCAGGGATCTCCACCGACGGGATCTGTTCGCTGGGATCCGGGCCCGGGCTCACCTGGATCCGCACTGAGTGCTCCTCTGGTCGCGCCGCGGCCTCCTCGTGTCCACCTGGCCTCTCCTGGGAGGCAGGTGGTGGAGAGCGCGGGGCCGGGGCCTCTGGGGCCGGCGGCTCTGGAGCCGGGGGCTGTTCGGGGGCAGCTGATCCCGTCTGTCCCAGGGTGGCATCTTCCGAGCTCTTGGCCTGGAATCCAGAAAGAATGACTAGTAAGGCAGAGGGGTCTTGGAGGGGTCTCGGACACTTTCCTCATCCTCGGACCCCTGAGAGGATGATGGCACTCTGCAGGTGAAATCTAACACTTGTAACATTGGACGGCGCTGTCAGGGTTATTTGGTAGAAACATATATTGTGGGGAAGTTTAAGGATTCAAAGTCTGGGTAGGGTTTGGTGAAGGTCTTTGGGATATTTTAGGTGTCTGTGGAGCTGTAGGGCTGGAAGCTGGAGACACAATGAGGGTTCAGTGGCAGGGCCCCGCACTGAACCGAGGGAGGAGAGAGAGGCTGTGACCAGGAGGGACCGCCGCCAAGGCCTCTGCAGAGCTGAGCCGGCCTGCCCTGCCCGGCTAGCCTGGATGTGTGTTCGCTGGAGTATGAGAAAAACTCTAAGCAAATAAGGTAAAGGCTGAGAAATCCCGGTGGTTCAATGGTCAGGACTCTGCACTTCCCTTGCCAGGGCTGAGTTCAATTTCTGGTCGGGGAACTAAGATCCCACACACCAGAGGGTGCAGTCAAAAAAAAAAAAAAGAGAGACCCAGAGATAAATAAATATAAGGTAAAGGCTGCTGAGAGCAGGAGCAGTTGTGGCCTGCCCATTTCTCGGAGGGTCTCTCAGGTTGAGACCCCCAGGGAAGAATGGGCTGGGCGCCACTGGCATTGAGCTGAACTGAGCCCCTGCGTTTGTGGACTTGGTGGGTACGTCCAGTCTCCAGCCTGCGGGGTTCTAGGGACCCAGGTTCCTATGGGTATAATTAGGGAAGTGGGTGAAAATCCAAGCCTTTGTGGATACCCACGGCCCCTCCTGCTGTCTGACGCCATCTGGGAGTGGGATGAAGCTGGGGGGGGAACAGCCCCCAGAGGAGAAGGCCCGGTGGTTCTTAGGGAGTTTCACATGAGAGCAGTCAGTGTGCTTATTATGGAGACTAGTGAGCCCCTGAAGTGTACTCAAGTCAGATGGTGCTGAAGGAAGGGACCTGGGTAAAGGTGGGTTACCCAAGAAGTTCCTGGATAGCAAAGCAGTTCTGGGACCTGCAGCTCCCCGTCTTACTGCTTCTGCATGTTTTGGAATGTCTGTTTCACCTCACCACCCCCAAACTCTGACAACACACTTCCAGGGCAGGATGCCTCATGGGGCCCGTCGTGGGATCTTCTTGAAGCATCCTGCTGTGAACGGAGCCAGAAGGATCATGGGAAGGTTGATCAAATGTTTCACCTTGTTGAACATGCTTTTATACAAGTATCCAAGATATCCTGCTTCATCTCTGCCACCCCGTGGGACAGCCAGGAGTAATCTGGGTCCCAGGATGTCCTGGAAGAGCTTCCTCAGGACAGAGGGTGACAGAGCCAGGGTTTGGACCTGTGTCTTTAGGCTGCTGTTTAAGAGTTCCTTGCACTCCGCCCTTCTGCCCGGGTTGTTCTAAAACTGCCTTTTATGAGCACCTGCATGCAAATTTAATGCACATCTTCAAGCTGCCTGGGTGAAAAGCTACCATTTAGAAGCAACAAATTGCTAATCCATTTCAGATAAAACCTTTCACTATGCTGAGAACACCGTCAGAGCTCCTGTTTACTCAGCTCCACACACCAGCCAGCACCTAAGAGCCCAAGTTTTAAAACCAGCTCGACCTTGCCCTTAACAGTTAGTCACATCTCTCCTCAGTCTGAGAATTTGTCTATTTCTTCCAAGTTGTCCATTTTACTGGCATAGAGCTGCTGGTAGTAGTCTCTTATGATCCTTTGTATTTCAGAGTTGTCTGTTGTGATCTCTCCATTTTCATTTCTAATTTTGTTGATTTGGTTCTTCTCCCTTTGTTTCTTGATGAGTCTGGCTAACGGTTTGTCAATTTTATTTACCTTTTCAAAAAACCAACTTTTAGCTTTGTTGATTTTTGCTATGGTCTCTTTAGTTTCTTTTGCATTTATTTCTGCCCTAATTTTTAAGATTTCTTTCCTTCTACTAACCCTGGGGTTCTTCATTTCTTCCTTCTCTAGTTGCTTTAGGTGTAGAGTTCGGTGGATGTATCTGGAGAATGTCTTGGAACCCTAGGTGACTTGGGTGTCATTCCCTGACTCCTGCTGTCAAATGACCTCTGAACAGGTCTCCTGGACTCTGACACCAGCCTGGATTTAGACGCGTTCACCAGGCTCCTTTGAATTCTGTCATGTAGACTGCCGTCCGCTCCCCATCCCCACCACTGAGCTTCTGCTTAACCCCATCCCCCTCCCCTTTCCCAGCAGCCTTCCTAAAGGACAGTTATGAACAACCATAATTAGTGCAATCATTCTAATTGGCATTCTTGGCATTAGTCACAGAAAAAAGTCCCAGAACTAATTTTAAAATTCCCTTTAGACTTAGGGGGTGGGGACCATTGGCACCAGGCCTATCGCCTTGGTTTTTCCTTTCAAACCTTTTAACTTGTCATAGACACAAAATTAGATATGAGACCATCACTGTCGTCTGGGGAGGGACATTCCCTGCCCACACCCACTGCTCCCACCTCTGCAGCAGCACCCAAACTTCCATCTGGGGGAACACTCCTCACCCCAGCCCCTCCCCACTCAGAGTCCATGGGTGGGCACATGAGCCGGTCCTCACCAGAGAGCACCACATTGGTGCTCCACACCTCGGGAATTGACATGTGACTCAATTCTGTCCAATGACTATGAACCCTGGGACTTCTTGTTGGGACTACTGGGAAAGAGGTACTTTCTATGGCAGTTGCTCAGCCAGGAGGATGTAACCTCAGGGGCTGTCATGTTAAGCCCCTGGGGCCCTGCCTGGGAATGCAGCCACCAGCCACGGAAGCAGAGGTGACAGAACGGCAGATCTCATCCTATTGGCATCATTTGAACTTGTAGATCCAGGCTTGCCTGAACCTTTCAATGACCTGCTCCAGTAAATTCCCTGTTTTCTCAAGCTAATTTGAGCTTGCACTGTCAGTTGCATTTCTGTCACTTGCAACCAAATGAATCCAGACTGATAGAAAGAAGGAAAAATAGTCCCTACAATGGAACGCCTGGGTCCTGAGGCCTTTTCCCTGGCACACGGTTAAAATGGCCCAGGTGTCTGGGTCTCCAACTGCATTACCTGTTCCAGCAACTGCTGCTGTCTGGCGGCCGCCTCCAGCGCGGCCAGCTCCTTGAGTCGAGCCCTGAGGAGGGCAAGCTTGCCGCCTTTTCCTCCCTTGGCACCCAACTTTCCTGCTGCGGCCAGGGCGGCATTGAAGAGCTTGGGGGTGCCCGCCCGCGGAGGGAGAATAAGCACACTCTTCTCCTTGGGCTTGTTGTTATTTCTCAGCATTCGCCTGAAAAAGAGCAGCATCCACTAACATCACCGGCAAGCTCTGGGAGAGAACGAAGCCTCACTCATTTGGGCAGAGCCCTTTAGCTGAGCTGTGTGATGCAGGCTGGTTTGGCTGACAGTTTGAGGTCCTTTTCTGAGCCCAGCGCAGTGCTGCTTGCGACATCACATCTCACTGAATGATCAGAACAGTCATAATGATTGGGGTCTTACTGAGGCTCAGAGGGGTTGAGTGACTTTTCTGCGGTTACACAGGAAATGATGCAGGATACTTTAATATATGGAATCGGAAATAGGATGCCCAGAAGAAAAAGAGCCTGAGCTTCTGGCTACTCCTTCTTTGGCTTTATTGTCATTTTACCATCATCACTACGACCATCATCCACACGGAGGGTCTGTATGTGTCAGGCTGTATGCTCAGAACTTTACAGGCAGGAATTCTTTGGTGATCCCCATGAACCCCTTTCCTGGTGTTCACACCTCTGTGTGACCCCCTTCCTTTGAGTGTGGTGGGACATGTGACTTGCTTTCAACCAATGGAATACAACCAGGGAGCTCAAATGTCATTTTTGTGAATGTAGGCCACATAGGATTGTGGCCTCTGTCCTGCAAGAAGACTCCTTCCCCTGCTGGCTTTGATGAAGTAAGCAGTCATGCTAGGGGAGACCGAAACCTGAGGGTGGCCACTGGCCAGTGACTGAAGCTGCCCCCAGCCCCACAGCCACGAGGAACTGAATTCAATCAACAACTGTGGGACCTTGGAAGAAGATCCTTCCCCAGTCGAGACTTGAGATAAGACCTAACTCGGGCCCACATCTTGATGACTGTCTTGTATTGGATGCACCTAAGCTGTCCCCAGACTTCTGACCCCTAGAAACTCTGAGATAATAAATATGCATGATTTTAAGCCACTCCATCTGTGGTAACATTGCTATGCCGCAATAGATAACTGATCTGCTCTCTGTTCTTTATCAGAGTAACCCTCGCACTAATCCTCGCAGGAAGGTCCTATTATTCTCCCTCATTTCAAATGAGAATATGGAAGCCCAGAAAGGGTGAGTAATTTTCCCAAGGCCACACAGCTGGGAAGTAGCAGAGTTGGAATTCAAACTCATGCCTTTGACCCCAGGACCGCAATGTCTTAATGATTACAAAGGAATGTCACGTTTATTATTTTCTTGGATGCTGACAGTACTCTGTGACAATACTCTGTGGGTTAGGTGTGGGTTTGGGGATCCCACAGAGGCCTTGCTCCTGGCTGTGCCTGCAGTGTGCTGGCCAGAAGGATTATCGTACCTAAAAGAGCTGGCGAAACTGAGGCTCAGTATGAAATGAGTGACATGCCCAAGGTTGCAAGAGGTGGCAGAGACAGAACTACAACCCAGATCTCAATGCAATATACCACTCTGCTTCTCTAAATAAGGAGAGAATGTTCCATCAAAGAGAGCCCTGGCCTTTTCTAAGGAATTGTTCACGCTACTGATATGTGGTGAGTGGTTTGGCTCAAGAACAAATGAGTTTTGCCTGCAATCTAGCCGGCCTCGGCAACTAATTGGCAAATTCATTCATCAGGGTCCCAGCAAAACTTGTTTAAAAATGAGGCCATTACTAGCTGCTTATCTAATCAGACGCAATGGATTTAAATTGTGCATATTGATATTAATTGCCCAAGACTTGCATTGTCTAGCTGGGGCTCCCCCGGGAGGCCACAAACACAATAATCATGAGGGGCCTCTTCCAGGCCTGGCGCTGTCACCTGTGTTATCTGAGTCCATAACTCACAGCACGGCGGTCCGTGGGAAGGCTCAGCGTGGTACTCAAATGACATGGAGGCAGCAGCTATGGGACCTTTGCTGACTGCTAATGGCTGTCTCTGTTTTGAAACACTGAGCTGACTTCTGGGACATTTCCAGATTAAGGAAATTTATCCTCATTTTCAGCTGACATGCGTTTCACTATAATTACTGTATAATTCACCCCTGGAGAGAGCGGCATGGATGAGACCTTTTTGCCTTGTTTCTTGGAGTGGCCGAGTCAGAGAATGGAGCATCTCACATCTTTGGGGCCTTGGGTCCCCCATCTGTAAAGTGGGCAACTTGGACAGAATCCCAGGTGGGGCTCTCACCAACTCAGACATCCCCAGGCCCTGTGGTTCTCAGCCCCATCTCTCCTTGGGAGGGCAGAGCTCATCTGTGACCCCCTGCCTCTCTCCTGAAGCTTGCCTGTCCAGAGAAGCAGCCTCTGAAGAGCCGTGTCACTGCCCCCTCTGGAGGGCCCACCAGCCCCTCCTCCTTCCTCTGGTTGCCTCTGGCCAGCACACTGCAGGCCCAGCCAGAAGCGAGGCCTCTGTGGGAGCCCCAAACCCACACCTAAGCCAGGTGGAGGGATGGGGTAACAGCTCTAAGTATGGCTTTTCTGAGCCATGCTCCTCTTGCAGGGGGCAGGAAGGGAAGGGGAGGGGGACCTGGAGCCCATGCTTAGACTTAAAGTCAGTTCTCATTATCCGCGGTGGTTAAGCTCTGTCAAGCGTCTGCAGACACGGAATTAGTGACTACTGAGCAATGGCTTTTTGGGAAAATACAGAATTTGGTTACTGTGAGCCTCTCAACACAACATTTTCATCAACTGACCATTCTCTAACCTTGTCTTGTGTGTGTGTGTGGTGTCTGTTTTAAAGACGTCTTACTTAATATTGTTGATTCATTTACAATGAATGTGTGGCTCTGTGACTCAGGCCTGTACGTGGAAACACAAGGCCTCACTTTAGCACTGCACCTGGGACCATTTTAATAGTGAACCATGAACAAAATTCACAAAAATGTGAAAAACGTGGTACGAAGTGAACCACAGAGAGACACTTGTTTCCAATCTGAGCTGAAATAAGAAAGCAGAGTGTCACCTTCTTCAATTTAGCTGGAAAGTGCACTTCCAGTGGACTCAAATTTTTGCCACTGGGCACGCATCTGCGAATGTCCCTATAAGCCTTTGAGTATTGATTTGGGGGTTATGAATAAATTTTAGTAAGTAGGTGAATTGAAAATATGGAATCCATGAATAATGAGGGTTGACTCTCCCTCAGGAGAGTAGGGTGAAGCAGGCAGACTTGGCAAAATTTGAATATGCTACTTATATGTTAATTGACTTTATTTTTATTTCCTGTTTCTTTGGCGGAAGCTCAGGTAACCAGTCATTGGAAGGGCCCAGTGGCTGCTCTGTGAGCAGCCAGGTAAGATGAGTTATGGGACAGCTTCCTTCCCCAGGAGACCCCAGCGCCTTGTCTGTATTATGCTCTAAGGTTGACACTGCTTCCACTAATCTGGGAGCTGCCAAAGGGCTTTTATTAAAAACTTAAGTCACAGCAAGTTACTCTGCAGTGTAAAACCCTGCATAACTCTCGTCTCCCTCAGACTAAAAACTAAAGCTATATGTGAGACTTCCCTTATAAGGCCCTACCCAATCTCACCCCTCCCACTCCTCCCATCCCATAACAACCTATGCTCATTTTGTTGCTGGTCTCTGTGAAACACCAAGTCTGTGCCTCCTCTGAACCTTCGCACACGCTGTTCCCTCTGCCTGGCATGCTCTTCCCTGCAGGCAGCTCACTCCTTCACTCTGGGCTGGTCTCCGCTGAGGTGCCATGTCCTTAGAATGACTCTTCCTGACCAACTTATCACACATAGCTCCCTCCATCACCTCTGTCTCCTCAGGAGGCTTTATATTTCCTTATGGCCTTTACCTCCAGCTAACATATCCCACAGCCACTCATTTCTCCACTGTTGGTCTCCCCGGCTAGAACGTAAGCTTTGTTTGGTCTCTGCTGTGTCCCCAGGGCCTCAACATATCAGCTCAATAAATTACTGTGCTGTATGAATGGATACTGGTGAGTTTTTTCCCTCGATCATGATCATTCTCGGTGTAGTTTATTCATGGTGACTGAAATGGAAAATATGAATATATGTTAAAAGGTATGGGAAGAAATGCCAGATAGGTGGATTAAAAAGATATTATCCCACAGAAAATTACAGAGCGAATTTAATGGATAAAGAGGAACCATCATTATTATTAACATATATTGAGCTCCCTTGTGTGCTGGGCCCCCTGCTGGAGACATTCACACACACTGTTTTTATTTAATTGGCTCCACAACAAAGGGATCACCCTTGTTTTCCAGTGGAGAAACTGGAGATCAGAAAGAAAAGTAGCTTTTCCGAGGTCACGCACCCAGTACTGCAGACAGACAGCATCTGAATCCCATCACTCTCCCAAGTCTGTTTTCTACCACATCAAGCTGCATCTATTGCTCAATTTAAAACCTGATCTTATGGGTTTGAAAGCAAAACAACTGCTTTTCTTGCCTATTCCAGGGGATTCCCTAGCAGTCCTGTGGTTAGGATTCCAGGCTTTCACTGCGGGGGGCAGGATTCAGTCCCTGGCTGNAAAAAAAAAAAAAAAACCCTACCAATCCCCCAACAATACAAAGTACAGATGCATGAGCTTATTCATTGCAGTACTATCTATAATTGCAAAATACTGGAACTAGCCTACATGCCCATTCATAGGAATGTTTTGCAGTTGTCAAAAGGAACAAGGAAGCTGTCTGTAGACTCACAGAGAATGTTTTCCATGACTTATTGTCACATGAAAAAAGTCAAGTGCAAAAGAGAATCTACCGTATGCTACCCTTTGTGTAAGACAGAGAGGGAAGTAACAAAATGGTCATGATCTTCCTATTTTTGCAAAAGAAACACAGGAATTAAAAAGCAGAAACTAATGAGATTAGGCTCCTATAGAGGGTGGGTGGCAACAAGTGGGGGTATTTGGGACTCTGAGTGCACTGTTTTGTAGACTTCTGCCATGTTAATGTTCTACATATTCCAAACACATAAAATCAACAAAAAGTGGGGAAACACTAAAATGGAATGAAAAATGAAACATGTGAACCTAGCTGTACTTCAAATGAACAGAACAACCACAGTAAAGGCAAGAAAACAGAGAACCAAACCAAACAACTGAATACAACATGTATATCACAGGTACTCAGGCTAAAGACAAAAAGAACTACTCTCTACTTAAGGCTTTCTTCTTTCCAATAGTGCGGGATAGGAATTCTGGTACTACATTATACTGTAGGACAGAACAAATGAATAAATGTAATGAGGATAAAAGGACTCAAATTTCTCAGTGTTGAAAAAGAAATTTACAAATCTGGAAAAGGAGATTAGAATGAATTCTGTGATACTGGATCGAAACTGTTAGATGGAAATAGAGATATAGATAGACACAGACAAAAAAATAGATGTTGATGTTTATGTATATGATGCACATATATGTATATATTTGCATTTATACACACAAATGTACATGTGGGTACCTTTTCCAGCTGTACATGTGGGTATATTTCCCAGCTCTATCCACTGTGTAGGCCTAGTAGCAACCCAGTAGCAATGAGTAAGTGAGTGAGCGAAAGTCACTCAGTCATGTCTGACTCTTTCTGACCCCATGGACTATACAGTCCATGGAATTCTCCAGGCCAGAATACTGGAGTGGGTAGTTGTTCCCTTCTCCAGGGGATCTTCCCAACCCAGGGATCATACCCAGGTCTCCTGCATTGCAGGCAGATTCTATACCAGTTGGGCCACAAGGGAAGCCCAAGAATACTGGAGTGGGTAGCCTATCCCTTCTCCAGGGGATCTTCTCAACCCAGGAATTGAACTGGGGTCTCCTGCATTGCAGGCAGACTCTTTACCAGCTGAACTACCAGGGAGTATTCAGACCTTAGTTTCTGAAAACCATTCCCTTCTAAAAGGAATCAAGCCTCCTTGGAGAAGTGACCATTTCCAGGGATGCAGCAGGGAAAGTATAAGATGAATCTAAGGCAACTTATTATGCCTGTAAGCAAAAAAGTGCTAAAATATAACAGGGACGTAACAGAAGTTCACTACACCCAGCCTGCAGAGGTGTCCAGTGGCCAGTCTGGAACTGGAGCATCAAAACCATGATTACAACAGGGTATTCATGGAATAAAGCAAATCTGTATTTTTATAAACAGATAAATGAATAAACAAATGGGAAAGAAAAGAAAGTTATTCCATATAGTAGGACACTAGTTAATAAATGTAGCAGGCATGATGGAGAAAGAAAATCACCATTTGCAACCATCATGGCAATCATTGCAAGGAACCTTCATTGGAGGCTGAAAGTAGTGTGTGAAAGCAAGATGAGGAACAGGAAATCTAAATCGTCTTGACTTCTTACTCATTACTTACTAATTATTTAACCAGTGATCAGAGTAAAAATCATCAGTATAGTGAGAAAGCAGCACCGTGTGCCTCTCGATATGCTGTACTGAGAAGGACACAACATCACTTCTCAGTAATTTCTGCCTCAAACGCAGAACCTGAAGATAATGATGAGAAAATATTAACATCACGTAAACTTAAATGGAGGGGACTTCCCTGGTGGCTCAGTGGTAAAGAGTCTGCCTGCCAATGCAGGGGATATGGGTTCAATCCCTGGTCCACATGCCATTGAGCAACTAAGCCTGTGTGCCACAACTACTGAGCCAGCACTCTAGCTCACGTTCTACAACAAGAGAAGCCACTGCAATGAGAAGCCTGAGCACTGCAACTAGGGAGAAGCCCCTGCTGGCCACAACTAGAGAAAGCATGTGTGCAGCAATGAAGACCCAGCACAGCCAGACATAAATAAATATATCTTTTCAAAAAAACTTAATGGAGGGGTATTCTGCAAAATAACTGGCCTGTCCTCTTCAGAGATGTTAAGATCAATAAAGATCTTGAAGATCAATAAAGATCTGGGACGAGAGTCAAAGGAGACTAACATGGCAATGTCATGCAAAGGGGATCCAGGAATAGAAAAGAAGAAAAGAAAAGCTATAAAAGACCCTCTTGGAACAATGAACAAAATTAGACTATGGATTAGAGGTGAGATAACAGTATTGTTTCAATCTCCAATTTCCTAGTTTTTAGAAAGGTACTATGGTTATGTAAAAGAAAGTCTGAGTCCTTAAGAAAAATGCACATTAAAGTCTATATGGATTTTTTTAATTAAAAAAAATGTACCTGGCCTTCTTGCGGAGCAACTTCTGAGACTCAGGATAATGCACAAGAATTTCATTCAGGTCCTTCTTATCCAGAATGAAGAGGTTGGTAAACCCATGGGCCACCACGTTAGCTGTGCGCCGGTTCCCGCCCCCAACAGCCAGCAAGCTGGGGCAGAGACGAAAGGGAGGTCAGGACCTTCAAGGCTGTGGTTTTGATCACATCAGCATCTTCATTTTCACCCCTGCCTGGAGCACCATGATGGCCTCAGGTGGGTGAGAGCTGGGCCTGAGACAGGCTGGGACCTGGGGCTGCAATGCTTGCACCTAGACAAACGTCTCCTCCTTGACACCCTAGCCACCGCTCTGGCCCAACCCCTGAACACACCCCTACCTTGAGCCCATATAAGAAACCAGCGCACCCCCCCACCCCACCTTAGGCAGCAAGTGAGCAAGGGAAACTTTTGCTTGTTCTTTCTCCCTCTTCTGTGACCAGGGCCCCAACAAAGCCTTGCCTGAATTTCTTCTCTCACCTCCCATCAATTTCCACACCCTGGTCGGTATCAGTCCCACCTCTCTCACATGTCAGCAAGTGCCGGTACAGCCTGCACCGTGGTTTCCTCAAACCCACCAGAGGGCCCTTGAGGATGTGGTCCCCGGCCACGGGTCACACCCCCTTCCCCAGCCTTTGCCCGGGTCCCCTCGTCTCACCCCGCTCTGACCTTATTTCTCCAAACACAGATCCAGCCTTCAGCGTCACCAGCACAGATTTCCCATCCGGGCCACCCAAGACCTGCACCTGTCCCGCCTGGATGATGTACATTTCCCGGCCTATCTCCCCCTGAAACAGAGAAGGGGCGGTCCCCCTGTCATCACCAAAGGCGACCACAGAAGCAGCGGGGCTGGGACCGGATGCTGGTGGCACAACATGGGGGACCAGCCCTTCCTCTGGCTTGGCATGTGGTTCCCCTCGGGGGCCTCAGTCTCTCCATCTATGGACTGGGGAGAGTGACCACCCCCACCCTGCCAGCCTGCCTAACTGGCAGGATTATGGTAGGGACTTCATGGTATGATGGAAAGTGCTAGATAAGGAGGCCCAGGTGTAGGAGTATTTGGCAGATCCCCAACTGTGCATACCATGAGGGCCCCAAGGCATGGAAAAGCCCACACTGTTCACACAATCGGCTGATACCTGTGACTCCCCCACATCGTTTCAGATGCTTGGGAGGCATTTGCTAACCGACATGGGAATGACAGCATGAATGAGAATGGCCAGCACTTATCTATCACTTTTCTGTGCCAGGTGCAGCTCTAAGTGTTTTATGTGGCTGGGACCACTGAGTCCTCAACAGCCCTCTGCGGTAGGAACTCTGCCCAAGGTCACAGAGTTCAGCAAGGCAGAGCCGGGATTTGAACCCAGGCCGTCTGGTTCCAGAGCTCATGGTTGTTATGAGTTGAACTAAGTGCCCCTGCAAATTCATATGTTGCAGTCCTAGCACCCAGCTCCTCAGAATGTGACCTTATCTGGAAAAAGGATCATCAGAGATGTAAAGAATTAAGTGAAGATGAGGTCATGCTGGAGTTGAGGGACCCCTAACCCAACAGGACGATGTCCTTATAAAGGGGCCTTTGGGTACAAAGTCAGGCAAACAGGGAAGGTGGTGTGAAGAGACAGAGGGAGGAGACAGTCAAGCACAGGTCAAGGAGAGAAGCCTGGAGCAGATCCCTCACTCACTGTTCTCAGAGGCACCTACCCCACTGACACTTGGACCTTGGACTTCTGGCCTCCAGAATTGTGAGTCAATGCGTTTCTGTCGTTTAAGCCATTGTGTTTGTGGTANCAAGGAGAGAAGCCTGGAGCAGATCCCTCACTCACTGTTCTCAGAGGCACCTACCCCACTGACACTTGGACCTTGGACTTCTGGCCTCCAGAATTGTGAGTCAATGCGTTTCTGTCGTTTAAGCCATTGTGTTTGTGGTACTTTGTTATGGCAGCCCTAGCAGACTGATACAATTTGGTCTTACTCCCAAATTAAACCAAAAGAATGAATGAATGACTTGCTTCAGACTACAATCAGAAATAGCCAGTCTGCCAAGCACCTTCTAATCCCCATGCCCTCACAGGCCGGCACCCTGGCCAGCCACCTGTTGGTCATACCTGGCATGTTTAAGGATAGGCAGAGACCAAGGACAGGTAAGTGCTTCTGTTTTTGATTCATTTGACAAATGTTTCTTAGGCATCTCACACATGCATGGCCTTCTTAACAAAAAAGAATAAAGTCTTCCCATTTCAGAGTCCAATTTGACAAGAGGCTGAAATGTGAGGTGTCTAAAGCACTCACCCTCATCTCACTAAGCAGCCCAGGGGTGGCCTAGGGGGTGTGTCTCAGCGAAATTGTCACAGAACAAAATCTGTCAGCAGAGGGCGCCATTCACACATATTCACCAAGTGTTCAGCTTCCGCAGCAAACTCCCCAACAATCTGATTCACTCTTTCTCATCCAAAGTCAAGTCTACATTACCCACGAGGATACTAACTACAGCAATGGCACCAGCTCTGCCGGCCATGGTGCCAGACTCCATATGCTCATATGTTTTAATTCTCACAACCACCCCATGAGGGAGCTACTATTAATATCCCTACTTTACCTATGAAAAGAGTCAGATTCAGAGAGGGCAAGCCACTTCCCCAAGGCTGCACAGCGAGGAAGTGGCCCCAGTGTCAGACAAATCACTGTTGCTCCCAAACCTCTCCTGGCCTCGAAGTCTGCAGCTTTGAATTCTCAGCCATTTACAGCATCCTTGTCCCTCTTCCTTCAGCTCTTTGCTTCCAATTGTACGCTGTTGTGCAGCATACAACTTGGAGTCGGGGCCCTTCTGGGGCTGGGGATTTCTGAGTCCTACAGGGGGTTCTTGAGCAGTATTTCCACCCCCGTTCACACACTAAGCCTTATGAACAGCTCTGAAATCTGGTTCCTGCTCCCCCACCCTGACCATTCAGTCACCAAGTGACCTCAGTCTCACCTTAAATCCCAAAAAATGGGAGCAGAAGGGGCCTTAGAGACTGTCTAGCCCTGGGATGCAAATCCATATGCTCCCCAGGATCAGGTGGGTGATGGAAAGGAGAGAAGTGAGCCGGTAGGGCAGCCGGGAGTGGTGGGGCATGGGGCGTCTCTTCAGAGCCATTCCCTTCTCCACTGCAGAGGACTCTTGCTATTTGGGAAAGTGGGGCTCAGTGCTGGCCAATTTTCTGTTTTCAGCCAGAAATCTGGATTTTTATGTGAAACCTTCCTTTTTTTTTTTTTGGCTGTACTGCATAGCTGACAGGATCCTAGTTCCCTAACCAAGGATTGAACCTGGGTCACGGCTGTGGAAATACCACATGCTAACCACTGGACCACCAGGGAATTCCAGAAACCTTCCCATTTTTTACAGGTGGGAGACTAATTCACACTTCATTTTTAGATTAAACTGGGTGTGTGGGGAGGAAACGATCCATGAAACACTGTGGGCTGGCTCCTTGGCAAGGACCATCAGTTTGCAGCCTCTGACCTCTCCCTCCCCTTGTCCAGCCCCAGTTTCCTGACAGGAAGACCAAGACCCTGGAAGCAGTTCCATGTACACAGTCAAGACCTGACCCTCTTTTGGCACCTCACTCTCCTCTTCTGTAAAGTGGGTTCCTCATCCTGGTCCCATGGTCCCATGAGGAAGGAGCCAGGCTGAGACACATCTGAGCTTGTGCCCGGAGCTCCTCCTGCCAGGCAAGCCGGGAGCCCTGGGGTCAGCTTGCCACCTGCCTCGCCTCGAAGCAATTCCACTCTGCCTGCACCTGCAAACCTCACCACCTTCCCAGGGGGCCCCCTCCAGCCCAGCTCTGATGAGCAGGGGCTGTGAATCCCAGACTGCCTTGCGGCCGCCCCAGCCACTCACCTTCTTGCACACGTAGTCATTGGGCAGGTAGACGACAGAGCGCAGCCTCTTCAGCATGTCAAAGATCATCTGCCGGTCACAGCCCTGGCCCCGAGAGGAGGGGGAAGGAGCCATTTAGAGGAAGGCGTGGGCTCGGGGCCTTCCAGAGTCCTGAGGGTGGGGCACGGGGCAGGCCGTACCTGGAAGAGTGCCACTTTGCTGACGATGTCATAGTTCACATCAATGGCGAGGTCCAATCGCATCTTGTCCGGAAGTTGCACCATCAGCTCTGACTCATCTGCAAATGAGACCCTGCAAGGGTCAGAGGCACGGCCAGGCCCCTCATTCACACAAACAGTGCCGGGTCCACAATGCACTGGCTGAGCCCCCGGATGTGCCATTCCTCTAGCACTCGGAATCACTCCAGATTGGGAGGGTGTGCTCTCTGCCTCCAGGCCTTTGCCCATGATGTTCCCTCTGCTGGGAACAACCCCCTTCGCTTTCCTGGCTAATCCCTACTCATGCTTCAGAACCCAGCCCTCATGTCACCTCCTCCAGGAAGCCTTCCCTTGACATCCTCCCACCCAGCTATTATGTTATCAGTCCCTATCCCATAGCACGTATCACACCCTTTACTACAGTTGTTCGCTGACGGTATGTCTTCTCCACTTACATTATAAGAATGGCATTTGCAAGAACTAAAGTATGTGGAGGATGTACTATGTGCCAAGCACTGTTTTACAGAGTGCTTTACCAGGATGATTTCATTAACTTCTCCCAGCAGCCCAAGAGGTGCCCACTACTAAAACCCACCTCACAGACAAAGGAAGGACAACTCAGCAGGGCAGTGACTTGCCCACAGCCACGCAGCCTGGGGGATGGAATCAGGGCCCCACCCAGGCCCGGTGACTTCAGAACCTATCCTGTGAGAGCAGTGTGTCTGTCCACCAAGGTGTCCATGGTGCACAGTGGAGAGCCTGGCACACAGTGACGGTTGTAACTGGAGACAGAGATGCACCCGGGACCCCAGTCCCACGCTCTGCCCACTGTACATTGGCTTAGGGCTCAAGTGCTGGGTCTGTGCAACCCTGGGCAGGTCAGAGCCCTCTCTGGTCCTTAACATGTGCCCCTGTGAAAAGGGCCAATGATATTGAAGTCACAAGGCTGTTACTGGGATGGAATGAGGCAGTGGAAGTGAACATGCCTTGGAAACTGGTTAAGTGCATTGTCCACAGACTTGCCAACAACCCCAGCTCAGGAGACTGTGGGCCTGAAGTGTGGCTTCTTTGAGACCAGACTGAACCCCATGGAGGTGAAGGGGAGCCCTTTCATTTTGCTGAGGGCCTTGGGGGACTCTTAAGGCACTGTGCCAGTGGTCCATAAGCTTTTGAGAGCTTTCCAAAATGACGCCTAGGCTCTGAAAACAAAAATGTGTGTATGTGCGCTCAACTGTACCTGACTCTTTGTGACCCCGTGGACTGTAGCCCACTAGGCTCCTCTGTCCATGGGATTTTACAGGCAAGAATACTGTAAATTTAAGTGGAAAGCATACAGACAGATGCTTTCATACTAAGGCCACCTGGGAAGCACAAAAACAAAATTACTAACTCAGGTGGTGTTAGTGGTAAAGAAATTCCCCTGCCAATGCAGAAGACACAAAAGATGCAGGTTCTATCCCTGGATCAAGATCTCCTGGAGAAGGGCATGGCAACCCACTCCAGTATTTTTGCCTGGAGAATCCCATTGACAGAGGAGCCTGGAGGGCTGTAGTCCATAGGTTCACACAGAGTCCAACAAGACTGAAGCAACTTAGCATAAAGATAAAAAGGAAACAGGGTGGGGGTGGGGGAGTCAATTAACATATAATTAGCATGTCAAATTTCCTTAAGGATTCCATTCAGAATCCATAAGAACTTCACTATATTTGGATACAATTTATGGATAAGATTCTCCCACTTTGCAAGAATTACTGAGCATACCTCATCACTAACAAGAAAGCTGAACCATAATGAATGAACATGTGTTGTTTTAGCCAATTTCAGAAGCAAAGCATGATAAAAAATTATAAAATACATTGTAATAAGCTATAATGGAAAAGGATCTGAAAAGAAATTTTTAAAAATTTATAAAATATATATTATATGTATGGATGTATCTGTATACAAGGCTTCTCTGATGGCTCAATGGTAAAGAATCTACCTGCAATGCAGGAGACCTGGGTTCAAACCCTGGGTCAGGAAGATGCCGTGGAGAAGGAAATGGTAACACATTCCAGTATTCTTGCCTGAAAAATCCCACAGATGGAGAAACCTGGCAGGCTACCATCCATAGGGTCACAAAAGAGTCAGACACGACTTAGCGACTACTTGTATATGGAGAGCAAGAAAGGTGAGAGAGATAGAGACAGTGTTCTTCCCTTCTTGGTTCCAACTGCACTTCCATCTTTGAATGAAGATGCATTTCAAGGTGGAGGAGGGCACTCAGAAGACAAGCCCCTCAGGTCTTCAGGGGGTCTCTTCATGGCCTAGCTTGGGCACCTCCCAAGGCCTCCCCAGGCATCTCACTTACATGTTGGGGCCGCAGCCCAGAGAAGGGGGTGGGGCTGGGTGGGGAGGAGGGGCGTGGCCTTACCCAGCATGCCTTGGGAGTGCCAGGTGTACTCGTACCAGGTCTTGACCCGGTTCTGCACAGACTTGGGGATCTTGTAGAAGTTCATGTACTTCACGGTGCTGTCCATGCAGCTGCGGTAGTAGGTCTGTCCCGCGGTGGCGGCCCCCACTACGTCTCTCATCTGGGGGGGTCGGGGGGTGGTGGTCAGGGAAGCCACTGGGTCAGAGTGGGGCGGGGCTTCGGGGACCTGGGTTGTGGGCACATTAATGTAACACAGGCCCCCGGGTGCACGCTTGCCGGGCTGGTAGGAGATCAGGAGAGAGGGAAACCCATGTCCACACTTAGAGGTTTCACTGACCCAGGGTAGATGTGGAGGAGTGAGGCTGCTGGCCCTTCAGGTGGGCTTAGGTCCCTGGGGCCACACAAGGAGGGAAGGTCTTGCTGGGCTGGGCCGATCCTGGTACCAACGTGACTTCTTAGAGGCCACTTGGACCACCCGCGGGAGGAAATGGGAAGCAGGTGCGCTGCTCCTTGGGGCAGAGCCCTCAAAGGTAACACTGAGGACCCCTGGTGGTCGCCTTATGCACTACAACAAGGTGAGCAGCACGCCAGGTCCCCGCACGTTAGAATCCACCAAGGGCTTCTCTCCAGGCCAACAGCCCAAATCCTCAGCCTCTGCAGGAAGCCACTGGGCCCAGCTCTCCAGATGCCCCCAGCGGCTGACATTTCAAACGAGAAGAACCTTCAGAGAGGAAGCGGGACCTACACCTCCATCACCACCCCTTCACCCTGCAGGTCCCAGAGCTCCAGGCTCCTGACTCTCTGCCCAGTGCTCTTTCCTGGGCTTGGTCTGAAAGGAACGGGCACAGATGGTGACGTTTCTGGCAGCAGCGTGAGGGAGAGGGGCCCTGCAGGCAGGTGGGTCAGGACAGACTAGTGGCCCAGCTACCTGTCCAATCATCACGGAGAAAGCGAAGACGCCCGTGAAATAATTTAGACCCTGGAAGACAATTTCAAAGAGCGTCCTGGGGTCGGGCAGGCCGCCGATGGTGATGAGGGTCTTCACAGCCCAGTAGTAACAGCGAATGTAACTGCAGAGAGAAGAGGAAGGGGACCTCAGTCATCACAGACTCAGCCTGTGGATCCTGGGCAATCTGGCTTGAATATATGTACATTGTACAAGAGAGAAAAAGCTTTATAGCTCATGAGTGCAAAAAAACAGGGGGGACCACTCCCAAAAAGGGGAGACCCACTCCCAAAAAAGGGGGGACCCTCTCCCAACCGCAGAGCCCTCTGCAGCGTGCAGCGCCTGTCTGCAGGTGCTGTGTGATTTGGTCCTGACTCTGCCCCGACCCTGTAGAGACATGCTGTCATCCCCATTTACAGATGTGGAAACTGAGGCTTCCAGAGATTGCCTGGAAGACTTGGCAGGAGAATAAACCAGGGTTTTCTGGCTCCTGGTGCCTGGGCTCCTTCAGTTTCCCTCCATATGTTTTCAAAGTCCACAGTCTCTGCTTTGCTCTCCCATCATGAGGTTCAAGAACAAGCTCAAAATTGGAAGATATCTCGAGGGTCACCTTTTCTGACCCTCCCCCTCTCCTGTCCACTAACCAGAGAGTGAAACTGTGGGCCACAAAGGAAAGGGAACACCCATGGTAACCAGCTGGCAAGTTCCAGGGCTGGGGCTGGAAAACAGGTGTCACCTTCTCTCTAAGCTGTCATCACTAACCCCTTGACACAGACGCATGAGCCATCAGGAAAGGAGGTGGCCGATGGGGTCCTGCTGTGTGGCACAAGGTATAAGAAATGCCCAAGCTTGTGTAAGCATCACAAAGTAGCAAAAGTCCCTCCCTCACTATTTTTTGAGTTTTAAAGGTTTGCATGTTTATTAATAATTGCAAGTTTACATTATTCCAACAGAGCAGCCTCACTGTTCTAATTCCTAGCCATTAAGTCCTACAAAAATAAACCTAAGCTTTTATAGTAACTTAATCGATACAGAAGTAAAACCTTTATAGCTATTTAAACGGATTTAATTACCAAGATGCTTATGTTCAGACCTTCAGACCATGCCTTTCCAGGGGTCAGCAAGATTGAGGTCAGCAGGGCCTAAACTCAGGGCATTCTCAGCAGGCTTTCCTATACTTCCTGTCGTCCTACCAGGGCACAGGAACTGCCCAGAGCCTGCCCTGTCCCCAGTGTCCTGATATATCCATGCTGCCAGGGTCCCTGCTTCACCAGGAAATGGAGAACATCATCTGACTGGCCAATCATCTGGTCCGAAATTGATCCCAAACTGGTCCTCCCCTGGGCTCTGTTCACCAGCTATTTATGCAGTATTATGGTTAGATCATGGGCTCTGGAGCGGACTGCCTGGGCTCAAACCCAGCCCTGCCACTTACTAACTACATTAAGTAACCCATCTCGCCAAGCCACAGTGTCCTTTTTTGAAAGGGGCATGGCCGTAGACCCTCCTTCACAGGGAAATCACGAGGATGACGTGAGGTGAAAAGAGCACCTGGCCCGTGGTGGGCCCTCAGGAAGCGTCAGCTGTCAGCACCTTCACTGTCACTGGTTCCAGCAGTGGAGAACAATAGACTGGCCTGTGACCTCACGAAGTTCAGTATCTAGTGGGTGTAGGCATGTCAATGTGCAGTGAGTACTGGGGGATGGGTGGAGAAGCAGAGGTTTTGGGGGAGTTGGGCAGTGGGGGTCTTGGCCTCTGAATAATTGTGAGGCCTAGGGCAGGGCTCTCGCTACGCCTCCCAGCCCCTCATTAACACCTGGTCCAAGAAAATATACCCGTGACAGGTCTGCCCTGTCAATCCCCCATCATACCAGTTCTGGCCACCAGGGGGCATGCTAAGCAGCCTTTCAGTTCAGTTCGGTTCAGTTGCTCAGTCGTGTCCAACTCTTTGTGACCCCATGGACTGCAGCATGCCAGGCTTCCCTATCCATCACCAACTCCC